TATTAATCAATCCTTAATAATTAAATTTAATTGAAGAAAGAATTTTATTTTCATTAAATTATATTACATAATAATCAAAATTTCAATAGATTAAATAAAAATCACAAGCATAAATAATTTTTAGAAATAAATGAATAAGAAGTTTATTTTATTGCATTATACTTAAAATCCTCCAAATTTCCTAAACGATTCTTTTCAATATTTCTTATTGTTGAGAGAATTATCAATTGATTCTTTCTAGCAAAGATCCTCTTTACCTAAATACGCAAATTGCAATGAGGCTTTCTATTTGACTTATGATTACTAAAGATGCTAATTGATCGTTTAATAGATTCACTAAGAAAGAAAAAGTATATTATTATTTTATACCTAGAATAATAAAATGACAATAAATAATAGGACCAATATCAATCCAAGTTATATCTTCATCTTTAATAACTGATATAGTTTCTACGATTACTCCTCCTTAAAATTCTAATACAGCTTAATATGAAGAATCCTATTTCATAAAAGGTGAATGAATTAAGGGAAGATCAAGCTATTAGGTTGGATCTCTGAGATAAATTAAACCACTCAACTCTAAACAGGGTCTTCTGACTGTAAGATTGAAAATACCTATTATTACATTATTTACTTAAAAATTTTATGTTTTTTCAATTTTTTTATTATTGGCAAGTCGAATTCATCTTTTTACTCTGATTATCTACTATGGTTCTATGAATGTTCGGACACCTTCTACTCTAACCAAATAAAAGGATTAATTTCATAATAATGAATAATTTTTTTCATTTTTAATCCCCTATCTTACCTTTTCTTTAGAGTATTAGCGTAATCATTAGATAGTAATTTTATCCCTTCTCTCTGAGCATACGCCAAGTAACAAGTGTTAAGAAATTTATAATGAGTGTGATTAATAAAATTATAAATGGATTTAGAATTATATATTATCAATAGAGGATGTCAATAAAATTCATGCTTAAAAATTCTTGAAAAAGAAATACATAACAAATACTTAAATCCAGCCTTTTTAACAAATAATCTGCATAATCAAATCCCTAAATTTCAAAGCAACTACGTCAACATAAAATATAATATTCAAACCTTAGGAAAATCAAAAAAACAGTAGTGCACAAGAAAATCGAATTAAGAATAAATATAATTTGCGTTTTGGCGAAATCTTGTTAGATTAGCAACACTTAAGTAGTATATAGATACAGTAATTGGGAAAAGTTTCTTACTTCAACTAATTTATATAACAAGTAGAAATTTAAACATAGAAATTATGTTTCTGTAAAGGATAATTCTTCATTCTATTAGGAAAAATCTAATTACAGGAAAATTTAGAATAGTTTAGCATTCTTTCTTATATACATATTCATTTTAAACTAACCCTATTGAATGAATAAGGAATTTTTTGAAAAGGAAATTTTTATAACGACAGTGAAGAACGGAATAAAGTACAATCAAGATCAAAATTTAAATTATAGGGCATATCAAATGCTAGTAAATTTAATTAGCAAAATTCTGTATATTAAAAATTAAAATGATTTTTGGATTAATATATATTAATTGCATAATTTTTAATTTGAAAAAGAAAATAAACAATTATATATTTATTTTTAATTTTATCAATAAACAAAAGTATTTTTGAA